CCAGACCTAAGAATCATATGCTCTGGAGATTGCAGAAAATTAGGTGGACTGTTTTCTTTGAATTATCATACCTATCCTATCTAAAGTTATACTCTCTCTTCCTCCCCATCCTCACTGCCATTCTTTTCCAAATTTGAAATACCTATTTGCAACAATGAGACACAAACTTGGACCTTATAAGAGATGTAATTCAAGTGAACACGAGGAGTTCTGTGACAGATTTTAAGGTTCAAATTGAGCAACAGGTGTACATTTTAGGCTTTTGTGTATTCAGAGAAACTGGTAGTTGAGGTATTCAGATTTTATATCAAAATTCTATCTTTTGGGCTTCCCTGGTGGCGCAGTGGTTGAGAGTCCTCCTGCTGATGCAGGGGACGCGGGTTTGTGCCCCGGTCCGGGAAGATCCCACATGCCGCGGAGCAGCTGGGCCAGTGAGCCATGGCCGCTGAGCCTGCGCGTCCGGAGCCTGTGCTCTGCAATGGGAGAGGCCACAGCAGTGAGAGGCCCGCGTACCGCAAAAAAAAAAAAAAAGCTTTCTTTTTAAAATAAATTTATTTATTTATTTTTTGGCTGTGTTGGGTCTTTGTTGCTCTGCACAGGCTTTCTCTAGTTGTGGCGAGCGGGGGCTACTCTTCGTTGTGGTGCGCAGGCTTCTCATTGCAGTGGCTTCTCGTTGTGGAGCACGGGCTCTAGGCACACAGGCTTCAGTAGTTGTGGTGCACGGGCTTAGTTGCTCCATGGCATGTGGGATCTTCCCGGACCAGGGCTCAAACCTGTGTCCCCTGCGTTGGCAGGCGGATTCTTAACCACTGCGCCACCAGGGAAGCCCCCAGAATTCTATCTTAATACCAAACAATCTAAAGGGTATGCTTGCTGTTGTGTCCTAGGGTTTGTCAATGAGAAATTGAGCATCAGAAACCACAGACTGAGGAACAGGATTGAAAGTCAAAAATCCCACCTAGTGGCACCCCAGAGAACAAAGAACAACAACTGCAGAATATTTAAAGCTCGAGACCACCCCCTACACCACCATCTCCAAAGGAGAGGGGAGGGGAATGGTTAGATCTCAACAAACAACCAATTTAAAAGAACACAAACCAGCACAACACTTAAGTTTACCATGTCTTGGTTCCAATATTTATTCTGTTGACAGGTTAGGAATACTAGGATAAATAAGTAATATCTTCTTTTACAGAAAATTGTAATGATACTACTGAGTAGGATTAAACACTCTGAGGATTTCACAGAAACGTCAGAATTTAAACAGACAGTAGCCAGAGTCCTCGTGGCCAGTGTGAGTGACTGTCTCACAGCTATAAATGCTCTGGGCCCAATTTCTACAAACATCTGCATGACAGAAACAATGCCATTAACATCTAATAATGCTAAAGCCTAGGCATCACCTGGCTTCAAATGCATCTCCACTGATTGTGGTTTTCAACTGCAAGAAAAGGAAAATGGAATATTCTTTGGCTCTTCCGGCCTAGAAAAAATTCCTGACCTAAGTCACTGAGCAGAGAATCCTAACCCTTTGGAAGCTGGACTCTGTTTCTGCTTTCTTCCTGTGACATTATAACTGAGTTTGCAACAGAGGACGTGCGTTAGTGCTTGGGTGCCAAGGGGAAGAGGCCTTTTCTGTTGGCACAAAACTGCACTCAGTCCAGGCTGGCACAATTCTGTCCTCCCGGGGCTGACAACCTCTTCTGGCCACCTGAATACTTTTCAAGACACTGCATGTGCTGATATGATAGCCACGCCCCCCCTGCCCCCAAATTCTCAGAAACCAGATCTGAGGAAAGTCATGAGAAAGTCACAGTGGTGTTGTGTGGCGCAAACATCAGAAAAGCACAACGCCTAGTTTTGAAACGAACGCCTTGCACACGGTAATTCCTGTACAGAACAGCATATTTGCTAGAAAGCACAACCCTAGCCGTCGCACAGCTTCACAAAATGCCATTCTCACTCCACGTCCCCTACAAGTGACAGTGGCAGCAGCAGCAGAGGAGGTGGCCCCACCCCACCCACCCAAGGTACAGATGCTTCTTCTGCATGAATCCTAATGGTGGGAGGCCTGTTTTTTGCAGAATCCAGATGAAAGGCAGGCAGGACCCTAACCAGGGGCCATCTGGAGAATCCAAGGAAGGCCAAGATGTTAAGGCCTAAATTCTGGAGTTGAGGAAAAAGATGCCCTTGTTGCCCTGGGCCAAAGTCCACTCTGGGGTAGAGTGGAAAGCCACCGAGGGCCCTCCCGCCTTGATGGTTCTTTGCTGCTGGGATTCAAGAGGTGCACAGGAAGTCATATTTCCAATGGCTTCAGGGTTTCGGATGTAAAAGGAGGATTCGATGAGGACTCCGCAGTTGCCCCATACCACGGCTGCTTAGCTCTGCAATGTTCCCTCTTTTATCTGTTGGATAAAAAGGTTTCTCTCATCTTCTGGAGTCCTTCCGTTCTGAGCCCGGACAATGCATGTGGGCCGGTGCAGGTTGAGCATGTATATCAAATGCTGCTTCTCATTCTTGAGCTCCTCAATTTGGGCCTTCAGTTCGGCATTCACACTCTCCAGCTTTTCTGACTCCTGGGGGACAAGCAGCAGAGGGATTAGGAAGGGAAGCCACGGGCCAGTGAGGAATGGGGTGGCCTGCTGGTGGCCCCTGGGTGGCAAGGGGTACCAGCTGGGACACATCGGGGCTCATCAAGCTGGAAATGGCCGCTGGCTCCCTGCTACAGTGCCCCACAAAGATGGGACAGCAGCATTAGGTTTGGGAGAATCCAGAGCCTGGAGAAGCCTTTGAACTTGGAGGCTCCTTCAGATATGCCTTGAGTTTCCACTCAAGGTTGAGGCAGGCTGTGACCCTAATAGTAACGAAACAGCAACAGAAGCAATGGCAAAGAGATCTCCTTTACACAAGTACAACAGCCCATGGGCAGGTCTTCTGGACCCGAAAGGGCCTTGGGGACTAGAAGGCAATCCAGACTCATGGTGCTTAGTCTTCTGTGAGTCACTGATTTCACTGAGAAGCTCATCTCCCCAGAAAGAATGTACATAGCAATAAACAAAATGTCTTAATTTTCACTGACCCCCTGAAGCAATGGACAGAACCCTTGGGGACCTGCGGAACCTGGGTGAAGACTCTGCTCTGGCCTGTCTACACTTGGGAGAGGGGACACAGCCACTGGAAAGACTGCATCACGGCCTGCTCCAGCTGCCCGCAGATGCCATTGCCACTGGTGCTTCTCCCTTCTGGAAGGGGAGCCGGCTGAATGCAGCTGGGAGCACAGACTATTGGATGCCCCAAAGAGAAGGGCTGCAGAGTTAAGAACAAGAGAGGAATGCAAAGAAAATGTAACCTCTGCCTGTAGATTAAGGAAATAGCTTGTTTGAAGAGATTAATGAAAGGCTTTTCACAGTGAGCCAGATGAGAGGTGGCAGCTTTCTTTTCTGAGGAAAATGGGCGAGTGAAGCCTCTTTCACTGGACTGACGTATCGCGTACCCGGAGGCTTCTGGACGTGTATGGACCGGCCGAGGGGGAATATGGGCACCAGATGATCTTGTGGTTTTTAATTCACACACCTGCTTCTTACACACCCAGAGTCACATTCATTGTGCTAACAGCTTTGCTACTTTGTCGTTCTGCAACTGGCATTTCTGCTACCAGCTACAATGCCCTTCCTGGGGAGGCACTTCTGGGTGGGGGCTTTCAAACTCCCCTTCCTCACATGACGTGAGGTAGGCGGGGGACAGGCGTGAGCAAGAGGAAGGAGCAAGGCACACAGGCACCCACCTTCTGCAGGCACTCGGTCTTCTCCTTCTTCTTGTTTCGGCACTTGGCAGCTGCAATCTTATTTCTTTCCCGTCGCCTCTTTTTCCTTTCATCTTCTTCGGGGGCTACCTGTAAAATTCAAGAGGCACAAGCTTAATGGGAGGCTAGAAATTCAATCCACCTCAAATACACCGCCTTTTATTTCCAGCTAAAACTGACAAACCGGGGCAGCCCTAAAGAATTCGGGAGAAGTAAAGCCCTAGACTTTTGCATGCAACCTCTACACACACACACACACACACACACACACACACACACACACACACACACACACACAAGAATGAAAAATGAAAAATCAAAGAACAGTTAAAATTATATTGGCAATATTAGTAAATTAAATTTATTTTACTTTTAAAAAACATTTGGATTTTAAAGTAGGAGTTTGATATTCAAAGTGATAACTATTGGTTATCAACTAGAGCAAGAAACAGATTTTGTTCAGTAAATATGTCCTTTCCCCTAGAACCAGGAATGACCTCAGGAATATCACGTTGCCGCCCATTCCCCCTGCCTCTTCTTCGATTCATCTCTCTCTTCACCTGGAACATCATCATAGCACCTCCTTCCTAAATTCAGGAGAAGCCCGTGCAGCTCCTGGAGAAGAGGAACCCAAGCCTATTCCCCAACCAAAGTGGCGTCATCAGCCCACGGCTTGGTGCCACCTGTGGGTGGAGAACTAGAACCATCCAGTGATTCATCCAACAAGTTGATATTGATCTCTTCCTCTGTGCCCCACCCTGAGCCAGCCCTGCGATCCTCAGAGAACAAAACCCTGTCCTGCTTTACCATCTGGTCCTCTGTGAAGTTCACTCTGATCCTGACTTTGCCTAAGGACTGATGGGGAACCAGCAAAGTCTGGCTGCTGGACTTGGCTCAGAGACCAGAGTCCAGCGGGAGTGAAGCACTCAACAGTGAGCAGAGTGGGTGATGGTTTAGGCCACTAATGTCAGAACTTTGTCATGTCACTTGTCACTGCTCCAGACAGCAGGAAAGGCCATGGGAGCCTCACCGCAAATCAAAGAGATCCTGGGACGCCACAATCACCTCACCTCTGACTTTGGATTAGACGACACTGACTTAAGGTTGGGCTGAGATGGAGGCTTTACAACATAGGGAAACAAAGCCCAAGGGGGAAATACGATGAGAGGCATTTCTACCTTTTATATCTTGGATCCCAGAACCACATAGGCAGACATTGGGTTTAGACTAAACTACCTTTGAATCTCAGCTTCACTGCCTATTAGCTGTGAGACCTTGTGCAAGTTACTATGCTCTTTTGAGCCTCAGTTTCCTCATTTGTAAAATGGGATCAATAATCTTACCTACCCAATAGGGTTGTGATGAGGGTCAAATTAGTTAATATATGTAAAGCCCTCTGCACAGGGTTTAGGTGCTATGGAAGCTTTAGTTATTAACATCATTAACCTCATCATCATCAATGTCTTCATTAAGGATTCAGCAAGTCTAGAATTTCCTTTGCAACTAACTCTATAGATATTTTTGGACAGGGGGCAGGATTCAAAGTATTCTCATAAAAGGAAGTACTTGAAAGTAGAGCAAATCTCAGAGTCACAAACTGTCAGACATGGAAAAGCCTTTCTAAAGGCCATTTACATCAATCCCCTCACTTTATTGATGTGCAAATGAGGCACAGAGTGGCCAAAAGTAATGTGCCAAGGGAGGCCCGGGAATCACTAGCTCATGGTCAGCAGACCGGTAGGCTACAACACTGGATGTAAAACCCAGGCCTGTGGCTCCCAGTCCTGTGTCCTCTCTTGGCCACAGCTGCCTCGTTCCACCATGCTGCATTCCCAGAGGTGCCTGGGATCTGGGGAGGAGGCTCACGCTGCCCAGGTACACAGGATGCCCGTGGGTTTCACAGGCTCAGTGCCTTAAGTTGAGAACTACAGCCACCAAGGAGACCAGAACATCCAGCTATAGGTCATTTGGTGCATTCTCTTCCCAGTAGAAAAATCTACTTGTTAAACTGACCTAAGATCAGAAGGTCACTTGATGAACAAAAAAACCACAGTACATGAGTTGGATGACTTTGAGACTGCTTCCCTGAAGCTGGCTGCCTGCTTCTTGCTCTGGAGAACCCTCCAAATATCCCTCCAAAATGCTTTCCTTCCTTCCATGGCACCCCACTACTTCTACTGCATCCTGTAATGTCAAGATTTAATTAGAAAAAAATTTTTAATTTTTTTCCTTGAGTGTCCCATGTTCCCACCCTGCACTTTCCAGTATTGGACTGGGCACCAGTGACTTGCCCTGAGGTTAACTGGGGGTACAGCCAATGCCCCTAATGCTGCCTTAAGGATATAGCATCATATAGTAGTCCTGCCTACCATTCACTGAATGCTAACACTCAGCCAGGCCCTCTGCTAGACCCTTAACAAATGCCATCTCATTTAACACTTAGATCAGTTCTATACAGGAGTCATTATTTACCTGCCCCCCGCCTTTCATAGAATCATAAAGATTCCTAAACAACTTCCTTTAAAACTCAGTTCTTTTCTGGCCAGGTCCACTACCTCTTGCCTAAAGGCAGTGATCATGCCAGTTAAGTGAGCTTGAAACACTCCCATCTTTCATCCATGAGGGGGAAGCCGACAAAACAGCTGAGACGTCAGCTCTGAAGTTCTCGAACCACCACAGCATTGCCAGCAAGCACCTCCCAAACTTCTCACCATGCCTGTGACTCCAGGTGTCTTATAAGAGGCTGCCGAGTGGAGAACAGCACAAGCGTCGGAGACAGAAGTGAACTTGGAGCAGAACCTGTACCGAGGCTGTGAGCATGGCCGACTGGTCCTTGCTCCACAGCCTGGCCACCTGGGTTCTCGTAGTGATGAAAACAATCACCACACTCTGCTTCTTCAGAACAACTGGACACAGAAGGTGATCTCATACAGACAGACTCTTGGCTTTCAATACCATCCATACGCTGATGGCTTCCAACACTGTATCTCTGGCCCCGACTCTCCTCTCAGCTCCAGACCCACGTATCCAACTGCCTCCTTCACACCTCCACTGGGGCATTGAACAGGATGGACGCCTGCTCTTGTCCCCCAGTGTCCTGCAGTCCCAGCCTCAGCAGCAAATAGGCTCTCCATCTTTATTGCTGGTCAGGCCAGAAATTTTGGAGTCACCATTGACTCCTATTTGGAGTCATACCCAATGTATGACTCCGGGAAATCAGCTGTACCATCAAGACAGATCCAGAAGCTTACAACTTCTCAGCACCTCACGGCCCTCATCCCGATGCACACCCTCTCGTGTCGGTACCCTGCTTCTGCCCTCGCTCGTACTGCCCATTCTCGACTCGACAGGGTAATCATTTAGGAATATTAGGTTAGGCCATGTCGCTCCTCTGCTCAGAAACCCTCCCAGGGGCTCCCCACCTCACTCTGAGTACACGGCGTGTCTTTACAATAGCCTACAGCACCCAGCGTGATCTGGCCTCCACCCGTGAGCTCAGCGCCTGCCTCACTCCCCACCCCACACATGACCCCAGCCACTTGGCCCTCCTTGCTACTGGTCCTGTGCCCTCAGCACGCCCCTCCCTCAGTGCCCTTATTCTTGATCTTTTGCCAGATACCCATATGGCCCTTATCCGCTCCTCCTTCGAGTCTCTGCTCAAAGGCCATTCTATCAGTGAAGCCTCCCCTGAACTCCTGGTTTAAAACAGCAACCCCACTCCTACCCCACTCCCCTGTCCCCCTTTGCTGCTTTATTTTTCTCCTTTGCCTGTCTCTCTTTTATGGATTTACTTATCTTGTGTGTTGTCTGTCTCCTCCCAGTGGAAGGTAAGCTCCCTGTGAGGGCAGTGATTTTGTTTTATTCATGGCCGAAGCCCCCTGCCTAGAGCATGCCTGGTGCATGGTAGGTGTGCAGTAAGTAAGTGCAGAAAGAAAGGGCACCCCTGGGAGAACCTACCTCGGCTTTGGTGACTGACATCTCGAGGGGTCTGCTGCTGACGGTGACTGACTCCAGCGCCGAGGACATCCGGTGGCAGAGGTGCTTGCTCTGGATGGTGAACCTCAGCTCTTCCTTGACAAAGGGTGTCAGGTTAGCAAAATCCTCAAACACCAGTGACCCAGGAGGGGACAGGCAGGGGACGATGGCAGAGGCACTGACTTCCGAGGCAGAGACCTGGCCTGGGTGTTGAAGCATCATTTTGCTGAAAGACATATCAAAACCCCAATACTTCAGGGATTTGGGGGCATGGGATCAAGGACCCCCCGCACCTGTGACCTCCAACACCCGAGCCCCACCCCCAGAAGAAGGTCCCATTAGCCCTCGGCCTTCTGCTTTGTCTTCATTTCACACCATCCTCATCTTGAGTAAAACAGGTTCTTAAAATACACAGCTCAGTGATGTGGATAAAATGCCTAGTTGAAGTTTATAAGGGGTGGCATTTCAGGCTATTCTGAATTCACAAGAGCTATTAGTATTGGCTGGTGTGCATAAATGCAAATGTAGCCTCAAACAGTCCTGAAAGAGGAAGAGC